TATGGGTCGCTATAATGTGACGGTCAATCCCACTATTCGTTGGTAAAAGAGTAGCCCAAGAGTTGGCGGTGGGTGGTGGTGACTAGTTGCCTTCCCTCTAGTCTTACACTGCTAAGTTAGGGATGACTAGCGCAGATAGCCCTCGTGTGGCTTTGCTCAAAAATTCAAAAAAAAAAATTGTTATTAAGCACCAATGTCCAAAATCTCGAATGTTATGCTATTTTTCAAGATAAGCGATGGTCTATTACACGAGGTGTGTACTAACATTTGTTGAGTGTTTATAACAAAGTATAGACTGTGAGAATCTACCTTTTAAATGGGACTCTTTACGAAAAACAAAAGAACAACATCTATGTAATTAAAATTTGTGTCAGTCAGTTCGTGTGTGTATATGCGTGCTCACTCACCTGGAAATCCAATATTCCTATTGGCTAATTGTACAGTGGTACTTTTACATTTATACGAGTTCAAAACTACGACGTTTGTAACATTAAATTTAAAGACAGTTACTTAGGTAACATAAACAAACACACTAGGAAATACATTAAGTTAATTTTTGGCCTTTCCGTACCTTATAAATAACGGAATGCCATTACTCCTCAATCTAAATTCCAAGAGGCGCCTTAAAATCGACAATTAGGCTTCAACTTTAAAAACGCTTTGTACGCGAAGCATGAATTTTTTTCGCTATATCATCTATCGCACTTAGTCTAAATAGTCACTGCCACAACGTCACTCATTTTCGATGCTCTACAACTAACAGATAGCGTGATAGAAAATAATTAAGGGTTTCTGATGATATTTTAATGCAATTTAGACACGTATACGCACAATAAATTTACAAAAAACACACGACGATAGTTGATTTTTACATTTCTTGATATCATAATTAAAAAATTCACTATTACATAACTATTATATGTTTCCTATTATCTCAAAACAGGCGCCTAGAAATCGACAATTAGGCCTCAAATTATGGTTGTAGTGGACCCGACGCTTTGCTAATACTTTAGGGGATAGTAAAAAAAAAAAAAGAGTCGATACAGCGACAAACGAAGAGAGTTAATTTTCACACCTCTTAATACCATAATTTTTAAAATTCACTATTTTATAACTATTTTACAACGTCACTTTATAGAGAGTTTCATCACGAAATTACCTGAAGATCTTAGCTAAAGATGGCTAAAGACAAGGAATTTATACATAAAGTGTTGTATACAGCAATATATTTCATTTATAACCATTTCATGTTTCTACCCTTCTTTACTTTAAAGCTAAAAAAACGACAATTCCATATTAAGCATAATATATTTTTCTTTCATTCATGTCCAACTACATAATACAACAAAATATTATTTAAAGGATTTATCTATTTAAAGTATATGCCCTACTCATATATACGGTATTCCATTTAATAATGTAGCATATGTGAAACAAATCTTTGGGTTTTGGCTTCTATGGCACAGCACATGTCTCGTTTTCGGGAGATAGAGGATTAAGTCCCGTCTATATTCATTTTATTTAATTTTTTTGCTAAACAGTGCTTCAGAAGTCAAATTATTTTAGTATGTGCATCGTACGAGAAGCACAAGCTTATCCCACAGTAATATAAAAGTAAGCTACAATTTTAAAAAATTAAATCTCTGAACTTGCCATGATAAAAGAATGTATTCGTTGTGAGAACAGTTATTAATCGCAAGTTATTATATCCTAAAATACCTTGAAAATACTTTTAGATTACTAATATGCCTTTTGTAGTTTATAATATATTACTTTGAAAAATTCTAAAAGGATGAAAATGACAATCATGAAATATTCTCAGTGTTTTTTGTTTGTTTTTAATACGCACATGAACAAGTCAAGTGAAAACCACAGCTAATATAGTCATAATGGAACGACATGTATCAGAACTACATTTGGACGTTGTTGGACGTTTTGTAGGTAGTGTAATTCCACCGAAAATGTTTCACTTTGGGAATTGTATTTAACAGCCTTTTCTGGCGCAAAGTATTCGAACACGTGGGTCATAATAATGTGTTCAGTTTGAGGATTAAGAATTTCCAAGATGGGAATGTCCCTTTTACTTAATAGCATTGGAAAGCAAAGAAATATGGATCAACAGGTGCATCCATTAAGAGACCCTAAAAAGTATATCTAAACCGTGGTAAGGAATGTGCAGTGTCTTGTAACAAATGAAAATTGATGAATACAAATGTTAGTGACAAAAAAACAGTCCACGTGCATCAGGCAACAGTGAGCAGCATTATAAAAAAGGATCACTATTTGAAAAGCGACACAATTCACGTGTAGACAAGTTGCTTATGCAATGTAAAGTTCAGTGGTCGTACACGTAAAGAGGCTGGAAAACCAAACAAGTATTCATACTTTTCTTTACATACTGGCCAAGTCGCCGAAAGACACGCCTGTGGCTTCCCGTACTGACGAAACAAGCACCTGGGAACTTCCAATTTTGCACACTAGATGAACTATGGAAACCATACATAGAGCAGTGGCCCGGTTGGACCATGACATCCTTACGACACATCCTTTTGTAGTTGAAACCAGCTGTTGTCAAGATAAAGCATGACAACACCTGGCGACATGGACTATAAAAATATGACGACACTCCAAAATCATTCTAATATAACATACTCTGTCTCTATGAAATATATTCTCCCAGCGGGTCCAATAATACATTTATCAAATTAAATATAGCTATTCTTATAAAGACAGTAAGATGGTTTATTAGACACATAACAACTTTCCTCGGATTTCTGAATGTGAAATTTTAAATTTTAAGTAATAACTGCATTTTTTATAATTGTTTCTGAGTATCTTTTAGATCGATTTTAACCACAGGACAGTAGATAATAATTGAACAAACCTTCATATTCAAAAGAAATCTGATAATTATTATTATTATTAATTTTGTCTAGCTTAAGGCATATTTTTAATAAATTATTCGGATAATGAGAATCTTTATGATACAATCTCGAACTTATGAAGATAAAACAATAGAATACATTATTGGGGATAAATATTTAATTTAGTGCTACTTATTGTGGATTTAGTGGGTTTACAGTACAAATAAGTTTAAAGTTCTCCAACATCTTTCTTAATGTTTAATACATCTAAAACAGATAAACACTTCTTACTCACCCCAAAATGAATTTAATGCTAGCATTTACCTCATCCATAACTTACAGAAATCAAAACAAATATTTCACATTAAAGAACAATTATAAAAAAAATTATTTCGTTTCAATTAGATAATATAGTTTTGTTCAAAACACCTAGGTAGCCTATTAAACACTTCCTTTAAAAAATAATATAACTTTAATACACATTGTTGTTCCTGTGAATAAGCTTCATCTTCGTACGCAACATAATAATTATGAAGAATAAATGAAATTAAAATATTATTATCATGCTTTATATGTAGTATTTTTGAATAATAGATTAAACAAAGTTTCACGGTTTTCAACAACGTGTCTTTGAGTTAATCAGACCAAATAAGTAATTTTTGGTTACAAAGGTCCACATGTGATCGGGAAAAAGTTGGGATAACTTATATGGATTTGCAGGACTTTAGATATAGCGGTTTTATGGATTTTCTATCTCCCTAAAATTAACCACTCTCACCGCTCTGGTCATGGCTGTCCACGTCTTTCGATAATTCTGTGAACACATCCTGTCAATAGTATCACGTGCTTCAATTCAGCCGTTTCGCATTTTTTATTGATACCAATGGAAATTCTTCTCTGGCCTCTTTTATACCATGATTTCAGACAAAATTTAAATAAAAAAATATATATTTACCAAAACAGCAAGTTAGTACAGTTTGTGGTTGAACGCCGTTCGTTTTATTATAAATGGTACAATAAAATCTATGAAAAACCAATCATCACCTGTTTCATTATTTAATGATCCCATTGTAATGAATTGTATTCCTTCTTCTCTCTCTTTCTATATATATATACGTTTCCTCTCTCTCATTCTAAATATAGTATTATTTCAATACATCTATGATCAGGACATACAGCATTAATTCAAACAGCTACAGAGTCGTTTACCACTATTACACACGAGAATTTCAGTGGGATTGTCGGAGCCAAGTTACGAAATGTTTCTGTGATTAGAAATAAAAAGTGAACAACCGCCGAAAGTAGACTCTCGGGCATGATACAAAACGTTAGTAGCGAGACGATTAATTTAGTATTTTAAACTTAACTTATATCTTCCTTAGTAATAAATGAATATCGTAGTTGATTTTATTATTATATAGGTAATCACGATATCTATGACATCAGTTCGTCATTATAAAGAACTTACATGTTAAAATATAATTAGTCACATGAATACTTACGCTAAATAAAGTTATATTTTTGTTATATCTGTTTTATTTTGACAAAAGATGAGTTATGTTTTCCCTGGTATTTTTGTTTGAAAGCATAAAGTAATCGATAGACAATAACGAACATGATAACAACAATAACGTACGTTTTAATGATGAACATCTGTCAAATTTCGTTTTATTATTTCTAATATTGTCGAAAACTTACATATGATCACTAAGTAAAATATCTGCAGCAAACATTCTTCAAAACAATGTATTTAAAAATGAAATAGGCAAAATACTTAAGCTATAAGTCAATAAATTTTTGTTTCGGAGTACGATCGAATATGCAAGTCTATTGATTCGTTTCCCAATACTTCGGTCATTCTTGCTCTTCTAGATCTAGGAATTTTCTTATTAAATAAAGGAAAACTGAGAGACAGCTTTAAATTATTAGTTGCGACTTACACTGTGTAACTGTTAAAAGAAAAGGTTTCCCTTTCTGAGAAAAGGTATTATCCCAAACGTACCTAGGTTGTATTCCTAGTGTAGTCCTTGACGGGCTTGTCGATTTCATATTCGAATTCGGTTCATAAAGTAAACATTCAGAGAAGCTATCATTTTTATTCACATGCTTTTGTTTTTTGCGTTTCGTTTCAAAACGATATACCAAAACACAGAATATAACTGATAAGATCATGAGCATTACCCAGAGAAAAGAGCAGACGTTTAGAGAAGCAAGAATAATCTCGTACGAAATCCAAGCTTGTCTAGCTATAGATAACTTCACGCATGTCTTGTTTTCCAAATCGTTTTCGGAGTCTAACACATCAAGTTCATTTTCATAAATAGGTTCTATTTGTATCGCATTTTTGTAAAGACTTTTTTCACTGGAATCTTCTTTATAATTGACATCAGAATTTTGCAATATTAGAATTTCTTGTTGGTCTGTATTAATAAGAAAGGTACTAAAAGTAAAGTTATTTCCTGTATTTTTACCGGTGTCCGTGCTATTTTCAGTTATGGTGTTGTTAAAATCTCTCACTCTGTTTATCCTATTGAAAGCTTTCCGAAAAAATCGTAGAAAATAATACCAAGGAGCATTAAAAAATACTTCTTCAGGCATACCTATGTTTTGTAAAAAAAAAAACATTAACATGTTAGGTTATCAATTTACATTAAATAACTTTAAAAAATGATTAAATTCTCAATACAAAATATTGTATACAACAGCATACTAATATTAGAATATTTGTTTTGAGG